AATAGGACGTAAAACACAAACAAACCAAACCAAACAATCCGAGACAATTTTCTACTGAACCAGGGCCAATTGTTTTGTGTAGGTAAGGAAAAGTCACCTTGTTAAAATATTCAGTTCTAAAATGTCTTCAAAGATAAACCTCCAACCGTGTGGTAAGAATGCGCGATACTCATTTTAGAAAGAGAGTCCTATCTGCTGCATATGAAAATAAGTATCCTCTTAAACCTATCATTTCTTAGGACCTACAGTAATAACTAAAAGTTAGGGACATTACTAATGATGCAGAAAACTGAAAATAGCATAAAAATAAGCATAACCAGTACAGCAGCCTGTGGATGTGACGCGATTCCTTTGGTATGATCAAACGATCCAAGCATAAGCATACACATAAGCATCTAGCAAAATAGGACTGGAGGAAACATCGGGGACCAGGTAAGTCACTCTGTGGGCCGCCCATTTAGAGTTCCGAAGTCCTGCGTTCGAACATAACTATTTGTTACAGTTAACGGACACGCAGATTCTAAGTATAAACAAAAACACTCACTAGAATAATAGTTTGTTGGGACGCGTGGACTCACTGCTCTCAGATCATATACATATTTAATTGTAAGCAGCGGTCGTAGAGGAAATACAACAGAGGCATAAGAAAATTAAAAAGAATGCAATTATTTTTCTTTTGGTAGGTCCATGTCATTCAAGTGTATACGATTTCTGAACTGTACACTTAATGACACATACAATTGTACACTGTTGATATGGTAAGTTTCATTAATTAAACAAAACCGCACAACACTTGTCATTTATAATATATTAAAACCGCCCAACTCCCCTGGCGTGACCACAAACATACTGACCAAAGCGCGGTTATTAACACATGTGTATCCATATGTTGTACACGTAGAGAAATTACGCTCCAAGGACAATTTGAGGACACATGTCGGGACAGCGCCCGTGATAATTAATCGTCAGGAGACCACGTTTGAAACAATAAATAACACAAATAATGAAGGTTGATGTTAAGATGTCACCTGTCGGCGTTTTGTGTAATTGTAACAGAGCTCCCGGCATATACAAGGTAAGGGCATAACTTATTAAATAACAACTTGTTGCAATCAAAACAAACAGGTAGAGACAAGAGAATCTAGAATTTACAAAAGAAACCTATTTCGTCACAAAGGGGAAAAGATCGATTAAGAAACATTGATGTTTATTTTAATGTTTTAAGTAGTACAGCTTATTATCAAAGTCTCCTATGTACTAAGTGTTAATGTCAAAATTAATTCACTTGTTTATGACCTGTTCTAAACCATGTCGACATGGTCTTGTAGATAGGATAAAGACAAGAGAATCTAGAATTTACAAAAGAAAAAAATTTCGTCACAAAGAAGAAAATATCGGTTAAGAAACATTGATATTTTTTTATGTTTTAAATAGCACAGCTTTATATCAAAGTCGCCTATGTACTAAGTTTTAATTTCAAAATAAATTTATTTATTGATGGCCTGTTCTTAACCATGTTGACATGGTCTTGTTGATAAGATAGAGACAAGAGAATCTAGAATTTACAAAAGAAACCTTTTTCGTCACAAAGGAGAAAATACCGATTAAGAACCATTGATATTTATTTTTATTTTTTAAGTAGTACAGCTTAATATCAAAGTCCTCTATGTACTAAGTTTAATGTCAAAATTAATTCAATTGTTTATTGCCTGTTCTTAATCATCAAAAGTTTTAAATATATGCGCCATGTTGACCAATATACGACTTAATAGACTTTTTATGTGTGACGCTCCAAATCTACTCGACAGTTGAGGGACAAACGTACAACTCACGGTTTCCAACGATGCTGATTGATGAAGAATATGGACAACGTTTGAGATCGCCATCATGATCCTATGTTATTTTTGTGATTTGAACACCGATGTTTTTGGTTTTGCTTTTTGGTGAGCCTTGTTGTTTTTATTCTTGATGTGAGAACGCGACATTACTTTAACCTAAATTTACATGGCGGGTGTCACCGATGAAGAAGAAGAAGACGCTCACCCTTTGAGATCACCTGGTCTTATTTTCGTTGTAGTTTTTTGAAGGGACTCCTTGTAATTATTTCATTTGTTAACATTTTGCCCCAGTTTTATTGATTTGGAGTTCACATTATGGTTAACACTGATACTTTGGTATTCTAGTGTTTTTTTAATGATATCTCAAGACTGCCAGCATATCAGTTTTTGTGACGGTTCATAAAAGCCTCCTTTTTTGTGTTAGTGTCTTCTGATTTTTCGTTGTGGTATTTTTATATCGATTTGAACCTGATCCTATGTTTGTGTGTTTTTCTTTTTTTCCAACTATTGCATTTCAGTATAAAGCATGATTAAATATCCGTTTCTACGTATAAAATAAACCTGATTAAAATAATAATGGCTAGATTCATAAAACTTGTCTATATTTTCTATAACGACATGGCAAGGTGAACCTGAATATAAACAATTTTATATGTGAGATCTATGATCATTTAAGTACTATGAGTAATTCACAATTAAACAACTAGAATACCATTTTGTGGTATAGATTTGAAGAACATTAAATGTATATGGATTGATATATATTTAATAATTAATAAATTTATTCACTGGATTGAAATAAAACCAAACCTACGTCTTTTCACCATATGCATAGGGATTATAAAAATGTCAAAAAACGAAATAATAAAAGCCATTCCTGGCATTGTTTTTTGCGTTATGATAAACATCATAATGAAAAAGTAATAAAACTATCATTTACGGTACCCATAAGACAGTAAATAGGTATTCATAGCTTGTCAAACTTTACAAATTATGACGCGTATTTAATTATAAGCAACGTCACTGACGTCAAAGACCGATAGTAACTTGTCGGTAAATGCGTAGATTCCTGCGTACCTGTTGGCTCTTAGTAGTCATTTTGGTATGTATATATATTTCTTGTATAACATGAAATGTCACTCACACTTAAGGTAATATAGAAACGTGTGTGGGTGAAAGTCTAAATACACGTACGTACTAATTACTCGACATACACTAAACATATAAAATACAGATTTGTCATCTTGATTAGAGCTTTTCATAGTTTCACGAGCTATAAATTAGTATGCACTTTTCGACTTTGTTTTGTTTATTTTTTAAGTTCGAAAAAATATATTCTTCAAACCTAACAATGACGCAATTTACATGTGCATGGAGTTGTTACTTGGGGCACCTTAGATGGGGCCCCAAGTACAGGTAAAGATACCTGTGAGTTCCTACCACAGCAGGCGCCCAAGCATTTTGTGACAACTACATGTACATGTAAATGACGTCATGGGTAGACGCCGTAACATAAATATGACGTCATATGGGGAAATAAACAATGTAGGATATGAATTTGCCACAGGTTCATGTCATATATTTTGAATAAAGATGATAAGCAAACGTGGTCTTTAGTATATTGTTTTGTTCCGTTTTTACGTCCTCGCGAAGGCTAAGGTCATACATATATGGTGACCGTCTCCAAAGATGATAAGTGCTATCTCTCTCAAATGGCATAACCTGGACAAGGTGACACAACACATGCATAGGTCCCAATTATTAAGATAAAGGAACATATCAGTTATGGTATTTCCGATGTCGTCTAAGCTGATTCTGCAGGAGTCATGCATTAGTCGCCCCATACAATCATGCAGTACGATAGTGCAGATCTTTTTTCTTCCCAAACTTAAATTGTTAAGTAAACAATGACATAGAGAAAGACTAATTATAAGACAGTAAACAAACACGGTAAACATTTTGACAAAAGTAAGCTGTTATCAGCTGCGAGATATGTTAACAAATGAAATATAAAGTAAAACTTTAGAAGTTGTAAATGTGCTTCACATAAGACGACAATGTGAAAGAAGAAGATGACAGAAAAAGATAGATCCCTGCATTAGAGTGTTCTTATAATGGCAATTATCATATTACAATATTTTAATAGATACGAATGAAAGCATAATCTGTAATAATATAGAATTTATAATGATACAATATACAGGTGGAATCATTTGGTACAAATTCCTCCACACTTAATATGAATATTTGCCATTTTGAAATGCACATTATAAACGGATTACCGAGCTAATTGTTTCGTTTGTGCTAATCTAAGCAAAACATTATAAATTTTCGCGAGCAGTTTCTTAGGATATGAATTATGACAAATTTAAGTAGCATTATATCATAAAAAGTGCATCCAATAAATCAAAATTCCAAAACACATACCGGATTGTTTCTGTTTCTACGTATATAATCCTTATCATAGAAATTATCATAATATGTGTATGTGTCATGTCCATAAACAACAAATTCTAATTTTTGGTGGATTATTAGCAATTCATGGAAAGCATTATTCTAAGTAAAATACATACATCATTTAATATTGCCTGGATGATTTGATAGCTTTATAATATAAAAAGAAACGACGTAAGCTATATTTTAAACCTTGTTATATTCAAAGGATTATAGAAAAAAAATATAGCTTTGTTTTCTTAGAAATGACATAGAGTATGAAATTCATTATTTGACATGAAAAGCATTATTAAGAAAATTAGTTTTTTCACTAAACTAACAATACATTGACAACACGTAATTAAAACGTCTTCAACACAAAACAATAAAGTTCAGTCATCCTCATAACATACAAACTTAAAAATCAGAACATTGTTTTTTTCTAAGAAAACAAGCTTGTATGCAAAATTTAATCTCACAAATGCTTAAAAAGGAAAATGACCGTTGTGTTTCAAATACCATACACAAATAAAAACCCCACCGATGGTTGGCGATGATCTTAATTGATTGTCAGGCCGTGTCAGGAAGTTAATAAAATATATCTGGGTAGTGTAATTAATGATATTCACACATCCCCTGGCATCCCTTAATGAGATACGACAATTTGTTATAGACATGCGTCAACCGAAGGTATATGTTTTGCTCACAAGACTGACCAAGATTAATTAACCACAGGTAAACGCCAAGGAAATCGTCACTTACCAACATGACTTCCCAAGTAGGAGGTTGCTTTGCTGCCCTGTGTGTTTTACAGTGTGTAAGTATGCCTATTGTTTATATTTTCCCATTGCTATATGATTCACCTTTTATATTGCGTACAATAACATTATATTATTGATTCCAAGAATGGAAATTGTCTCTAGTTACTCTCGACACCCAAAACGCTATGTTGTATAAAAAGTATCACACTCCTGGCAAATGGACAGCTGAATGAAAACAAAGAGCTATGTAGATGGTGTTGTGCCTATATATCATTAGGCTCATTTACAATATTGAACAGCGTGCGACAGTTTTTTGGTTCACAATATCAAAAACCATTCAAAAAGCTGGCTCAACTAATTTGCGTAAGACGTAGTTACAACATATATTAATTTAGATATGCTTTTTTCCTCAATGTTATGTATTTTTAAAATATATTTTTTGATAACATAGATTTTTTTTAATAAACTTTTATCACTGGAGATTGGTTAATTAAGACGTAAGACGTAGTTACAACATACATTAATTTATACATGCTTTTTTCCTCAATGAAATGTATTTTTTTGAATATTTTTTGATAACATAGATTTTTTTTTAATAATTTTTATCACTAATGATTGGTTAATTAAAAGAGTTTTATCTAAGAGTAGGCCTTGATTAAAATTATCTTTGTGTTATCAATTATAAGAATATTCTTAATTCTAAAGAACGGTCTCCTTTTGAGTTTTCCTATACAACACAACAGGACAAATATCAACTAAGTGAATTATTCAACATTTAATTCAATACACAAAGCGATTATAAGTCAGTGTAAGTTAAATCTATAAAGAAATGATATACCACTCAGCCTTTTAAATAATTGTAAAGTTGAATGCATTATAATTGTTCGGAATGAAACGTCAAAAGCCCTTTGTGAGGTAAAATAGTGCTACTACATGCAAAACAGTTGACATTGAAAACATTTTAGCTCGCAGAAGCAAAAGCCTCGTTTGCATTTACCTTAGTATAACTCGTGTTGTACATAATTTCGTCTATGTGACCGAACCCGACGTAGAAGGACACCATACAGAATAACAACGCCCTGCTGGTGTTAATAGGTGGATAACCTATGTATAATGCATTACTTTATCTTCGCTAAGTGACAACACAATTAATTATATTTGTTCCTTATATTAATAAAACCTTTGCGAAGAAAGTAATGTTTATACATGTACAATGCAATTAAAACGTAAGTTGTAATTATCACGGCATACATTTTAAAATTATACCTTAGAGTCTAGGTTCCATTCCGATGGTTTTAAAAGCTGAATATCTAGCGACAGTATTCGTTTGGTAGGAAAGTGACCCCGAGTCATGTACATGTCATAAGATGAATACATTGTGTATTTGCATACTTAATAATACTGAAATTAAGATATCTTGCTTTATGCATTAAGTAACCCCTGTCGGCTCAGAATTCTAGAGTGTTCGACAGTGTTTGCATCCCGGTGTGCTAAAAGTTCCTTTTCAGCTCTCGCATTGCTTAATCGTGACCATTATTTTGAGTTGTTAAAAGACGTGCCATAATAATTTACGGTCAGGGGTTAGAGATTAATGGAGGCTTAGAAACGAAAATATGAACATTATATAGGATATATGCCTACTGAAAAAGATTATCAGTGATCTACAAAACCGAGTCAGTACGTTATTGTATAAAAATAGTCATATTGAGTCTAGGGGCATTTTCGGAGATTTCGAGTTTTGATAATTTTTGCGTTCATGATGCTGATTTCATCCATTACTTACTAACGGTACAAATTTTGTAAATATATAGTAATGCTAATGTTGATTATCAATAGGAAAATTATTTAACTGTATATATAACTGCGCACATCTGTCTTCAGTAAAGAAAACACTTAATAAGTAAAGTGTTATATTTATGTATCCTTAGAAATACATTAATTTAGCTTTATATAAATTTGTAGTACTGTTCACAGCAGTTTCTAGTAATACATAATTTAACTCTGGCATCCCTCCCTTAAGATGCTGATGCAATAAAATCCAATTTGAACCTAAAAAGAATCAAATATATAATAATGTACTAGCAATAATATAGAAAAAAGTCACTGTATAAACATATATTTTGCCCTCTTATTACAGGTGCTTCTGGTTGCGTACGCATCTACAAGTACCAGCACAACCACCACCAGTACCACCACAACACCTACCACTACCACTACCACTACAACTCCGGTGCCTATAACTACTACGGTAAAACCGACTACTACAGAAGGTATTGAATCACTACCACTCCATTCAATCAGTCGTGTTATGTTTTTTGAGGATCTCAAACATAATTTTTATGACAGACTCTGTCGGCAGCATGGTCTTTTAGAAGCATTTATTCTTCCATGTTTCGCTGAATTGTCGACTGTTTTGCCCGTTCTCTGTCATCCTCTAGGGTATGATTTCTACGTCATCCCCTAGGGAATGACAAACAATACGAGGAAAGAAGTCACAACCAGCTTTCGAAGGGTCAAATGCAAATCAAACATGACTACTGTCGGTTGAATATTGTCTGAAATCAAAGGATGGAAGAAAAACAATCACCCCCTATCCTGATGTTGGAAAAAAGAAATGTCTAACCTTCGGGGTCATTAGGTGGTTGTCTAACTATTGGCAAAGACTCTTTTTAGACAATCATAGATTTATCCTCGAGTTATATATTTGTCTGTCACACCCTCAAGGTAAGGGAAGATTATATAAATCGTTTTGTCTCCGCACACTATTGATTAATATGATATATATTAAGTTCTATTTTTCATTTTGTTACAATACTACTTAAAAAGATAGGCCATTTCAATGGAAAATGGATACTAGAAATGCAGAATTAAAGTGATCACTTATTGGAAACACGTTGGCCAATAACCTCATTGTGTGTTGTGCATAACTTAGTTTTAAGACTTTTTCCTTGACAAAATCTCTAAATACTTCTACTGCTATTGTAAGAGGTATTCTATTTTACGTATTTAATTCAACATACAATAAAGATGCATTTTAAAAGCCATCAGATTATCTCTTTCAAAAATTCAACATGGTTTCTTTTTCGGTTGTTAAACATATCAAAGTACGTTGTGACCTCTGTTTTACTGTGAAACGTATCGCTCACTCAACGGAACGCATAAGATTATGGCTAAACAAATATTTTCATTTTTCATGTTGATTCGAGCTTGAAGGAAGAACATATGCCAATGGTCGAAAGTCGCCTTCAATGTTTATTAAGATTATGGTGTACAAAAAATCCTTAAAATAAATAAATAAATAAAAAAATCCATAAATAAATCAATAAATTAAAATATATCAATTAATTAAAAAAAATAGCTAAATAAAAAAAAAAAAATAAAAAAAAAAATGAATTTATGAAAATGGAATAAATGAATAAAATGGAAACAAATCAATTAATTAAAATTAATAGAGAAATTAATTAAAATAAATCAATCAATTAATGATAAAATAACAAATAAATAAACAAATAAATTAATTAATGAAAATAAGTAAATAAATCATTACAAATACATAAACAATATAATGTGTATGTTACTTGTTCTGTAAATGTGACATGTTAGAAAAGATGCTGTTATATACTACATCTGTTCTATTTCCCTCTAGTCAGAAACCATAGAGCACAATGTGGTGTGCAGCTGTCCTTATCATAGTGTCAATGTTATTAGAGAGTAACATATTCCAAACCTAAGATGATTTTGTTATCATGATTTCCTCTTTAGTTAATTTGAACTAGGCGTGTCATACGAATGTCCACACCCAAAAAATAATAACAGTTATGCTAGAATGATAACCAATGAAACTCCTTTTGCAGTTATTTAATCAACAGATAATCATTATTTATAAAAAATACCATTACAGCTCCTATACTAATTCAAACAGTAAATACAAGCTTTATACAAAGCTGATTTCATGTCGCGACACATAGACCAGCCCTTAGACTTTTGACAGGTGTTGTAAATAGGTTTCTACGAAAATTGGCCCCTTATGGGGACCTCTTTTCCCTTCTTGGTGCCTCTCCGGTGTTTTGGGTTTTTGATTGGCCAACAGCCCCCTTTTAATATGCACCATATGAAAGCTACAATCTGATTTGCCAAAGGCCTCTTTGCTCGTTTTTAAGAAAATATTCAATGGCCCCGTTTAGTGGAAGCATCTTTACAGAAATATATCAAATTTGCCTCATTGAAAAGACCTTACCTTATATGCCACCCTTAAAAATTGTTTTGTTTTGTGTTTCATTTTACCGTGTTTTAGCGTATTGCTGTCAACTTACCACCTAAAGATGTTAACAGTAACATCATTGCTAAGTTTGGGTCATAATGTCATTTATACTATATTGTCATCGTATGAATCTTATTCAATTCTATTTTTGCGGTGAGTTTTATGTAGAATAGACGTAAATAATCGTTATCTATGTTTACTGCCGTTTCAGCGCCTTATTTAGTAAAGGCTTACCCCGACTTGCGCAGCAGAGCTCCAAAGAAAAATGACAGGATCGCAATCGTTGGCGCCACAATTCAAGGGATACATTTAGCAGTTTCTTTGATGGTAAGTATATATGATTAGGTAAACGTCACATAAATACAAAGTGTTGTTGTAACTATTTTAACGATGTGGCGATCCAACACGTTTTTTTATGTAACAATTTTGTAGTTTGTTTGGTTTTTGGCTTGCTTTGATACACACTTTTTTTAAAAATAGGTGCTCCTAATTTCGTTTTCTATTGTGATGATTGTTTTGAGATACAAATAAGGATTATTTGCTAAATAAAAAAAACAACCTTATACAGCATTTCAAACATAAAACAGTAATGACAACGTCACAAAACAAAATCGTGTATGATAGTGGGCGAACTGCATATATTTCTACATGACGGTTGTCAATTTTAACACTTCCGAAGCACCTGGTATTGCTTGTTTTATTTATTTATATTGTAGAGAGTAAAAATGTTAACACAAATCAAATTAATTTGGTTTTAATGTCTTTTTATTTCCGGTTGTTGCCTTTTTATGTTGTCTTTAGGTCCGGTTTCGGCGATTTGTGATTACACTGTTAGTTAATCATTTTACTTGATTTACGACTTACATTTTGAATTAAATTAGATGTTTCCTGATGCTAGCTAGGTGTTTAAATTAATAACAGCTACAGAAAAAGAAGTACGATATTTGCAATATGTAATCAAGGTGTTTGTGTATTAAGTAAGTAAGCCAAAATCCAACGTACCTTTATTACGAATGCATTATTCCATTGAGACTGTAATATGTCATTGGAAGTATTTGTTGTTGACTTATATGTATATCTATTGATACGTGATATGTTTCATGCTGTTAACATTTTTTAATTTTGGAGGTAGACTCAAATTTAATAGGAAATGTACAACTTAAAAATTGCAAAAGAAATGAAATTACCTTTTACATTGTTCAAAGCGAAAATTTATTACATAAAGAAACCTACTGTAAATCATATATACATGTAGGATACCTTTAACTAGTTTATTGCTAAGCAAATGCCGTTGTGCGTTTGGAATTTTCAAATTGACAATTTGGAACACAACGACACTCGTTGGGTTTTGGTTCCATGCATGTAACATAGTTTAATTTGTCAGTTTTAACACCGAATACTGTTTCATAGTTTCACAAACACAGACTGCCTTATATGGTAATCACATTGGTTACTTTTACGGAGGATGCAAGAGACCATTAGCATTTTGTTTTGTTACCTGGCTATGAGATGCCGTTTTTATGTGTTTTTTTTTTATCTTCATCAAGGATGCCGGTTTTCCTGATGTGAATGTGTATGAGTCAAGTCGCAGAATAGGTGGCGAGGGATTTTCGGTTTACTTTAATGGGCAGTCCTTTCTACTCGGGGAAACATATGTCTTTGATGAAGAGGGGGTTGCGGCAAAATTTAACAAGCGGTTTGAGTCTACAACGCTCATGCCAGTACCTAACCCATCGATCTGGATAAACAACACAAGTTAGTAGCTATGTCATATTTCCATGATTTATCTGTATTAAGAGTCCTCAGTATTTTATTTTTCTATTATAATTGTTCCTTGTACTGCAGCACTCGGCCTGTAAACAAAAGTGGGATAATGGGCCATATTTGTCTGTTGATTATAGTTAAAAGTACCTATGTCAGATAGCTACAGAAAACTGATTCGAATAAATACACTTTAATAGATTAACATCGTTAGATTATAATCTTTATGAAAAAATGAGCTAAGACACTCTATAAACAGGATTTTGTCTTTGTAACTACAGTTGAACGATATTTCATTACCCTCTTCTTTCACGCATTACCGTTGCATAAAAGGAACATAAACCCTTTCCGTTCCTATGTTGGTCAAATTGATTAATTTAGCATGATAATACAATAGTTGCTCTTATTAATGAGGTCATCATAAAGATACGTTCACCTCGAGATGTTGTCAACCGAATGTGTAATCAAAAACCATATTTCGGTCTTTGATTATATGTTTTCCTTATTTACCAAAAACATATTTTCCTAAAAGTTGAGATAATTGACTACAGCCAGCCCTACTAATTGAAACAATATCCAAACAAATCGCCCATTGCAAATAACAAGCCGGCTACAAATAGGAATTAAAACCTTTAGCTAGTGTTCACTACATTAACTGACTACGACCAAACATACCATGGTAATACAAACCAGGTCCAAGGGCGACATTACAGCCTTTACAATGATTGGCTATAAACAGCGTTACTTACAGGTAATGGTCACTTCTTAGAGTGGCCCTAATTAAGATCTTATATAGGAACATGTGTGAAAGATGTATTCTGCTGTCACCATACTGTTGTGTATATGCACATCTGTACTCCGGTTTTCCGCCATATTAAGTTGGTCTGGTCCTTTTATCCTGGCCGAAAAGAGTGATTAAGAATAGTTTAAAAAACATTCTTGTTTCATAATTGTTGTAAAATATTTAATTCTAATTGAATTATACTCGCGTGTCGACTGGCTGTTGTGTACCGATTTTGACTCGAAATGTAGTTTACGATAAATGAGAAATCGGTAATTTGAGCTTCAAGTCATCAAAGTAGGGCAAAATATGAACAAGGAAGTTTGTTTTCTCTCATGGATAGCTGTTTCCTTTTTTGTTTTAACATGATCCAAATGAATTATAATAAAAACTACGTAAAAATTAAAAAAGAAATACAATTTTGCCTCATTTGTAAGAAGACTCGTTCGAGAAAATCAATTTCAAATTAAACATTATTCAATATTGAAATATTCTCAATCGTAAATTTCATGTTGATGCTTGATTTATGTAACTTTAATGGCAAACTGTCAATATAACTCATTTCGTTTTGATTCCTCAAAATATGAATACTGATTGCATTTATTACATGAAAGTATATATCGTACAGATCAATCCATAGAATTGTTTCCAATGTACGACCATCTTTACTCAAAGGCACAGAAAAACAATGTTGAATTGTGTAAAGGAGATTAAGTTTTGTAGGTACAGTACAACATTCTATATAAACTTTGTTTATTTTACAACAATTATGAAACAAGTTATTCCAACTTATATAAATCACTCTTGGTCGCCCGGATGTTCGCGTGTGGGGATCGTATTGTGGGAGGTAACCGGAGTACCCGGAGAAAACCCAACATACTGTGCCGTTACATTAGACATGTGGTTTGGGTTAGGTGATGGATGGTTGGGGGTTAGGGATACGTTTCACATAAATTAATCATTTGGTTGTATCTTTTATGGTTCTAAATAGGAAATAATTTAAATGATTGCACATTTGCGTTTTTATAACAAGAACGAGTATTTTCTTTAATATGGCAGATGGGATTAAACAATGTGAATGTTTGTTTTCATTTATATTTTTATCACCGGATTGGGAGTCCCTTCTCATATTGTTTGATAAGTGATCGAAACATAGACTACGTTAGAAACTTTTTACGACACTGATGCATTTTGTTTTGTTTTCTAAAACTTTAACGTTAAAACTTAGTTGTGTCAAGATATAAATATCTTATACCAACGTTTACTTGTACCACTTTAATTTTTTTTTTAATGATTTAAACTTTTATTGCAGCTAAGCTCTCGTTCATGGAATACCTGTTGAAGGTTGCGAAAGACGTCAGCCCAACTGCTAATCTAAATTCCGGTAATATTGTAAAACATTACCAAACACTTCTGTCCACATACATGGCAGTCGTCAAAAACAATTTTGGCGATTATAAAGGGCACATGATGCGCCGTCCACTCGACTCCGAACTTACGCGTCTTTCGAAAAAGAATTTCTTAAAGTTATTGCAAGACAATAAAATTGAAGCACTAAAGTCAGTGTTTCAAATTATGCTATCCTCTATCGGTGGCGGTGACATCGCAGAACTTCCTGCTCTGTATGGATGTATGTTCATTAACAGTAGAATGGCTACAGTACTGTATGAAAAGCTTGGCAATGGTAAACCAATAGCCAGTGTTTTTAAGAAGGGAATCCAGCATGTCATGGAAGAAGCTACCAAAATGCTAAATGTTGACGTGAAGTTTGATCACGAAACGAACGAAATTGACAGAAGTTCAAGAGGTTACTTTAACCTCTACTACAAAAAGGAATATGTTAAAACCGATTCCAAAAAATCAAGATGTTCAAAGGGATACTTTAAACGTAAATTTGACCATGTCTTCATAGCTACAGAACCATACGAATTTAAATCGCTCATAACAAAACCAAATGCTGATTTGATGAATACGTTAGATACCATGACTTCAAAATTTCAAACTTACAACCTATTGAGGACAAATATCACTACTCCGGGTGAACGTCTGCATGAACAGTTCGCATTTAATAACTATGGAGATTACAACGTTCAATCTTGCTTGGATAATGTAAAACATACGGGGCCAAATGTCAATCCAAACGAGAAGTTCACCGTTTGTTTACAAGAGTCTGAATTAAGCAACCGCACACTGCTGGCGGAAGCAATGTATTCGCATATTACCGAAATGGACTACAGTCTAATGAATCCCAACTCCAATACTTCCGTCGAGGACACCCGAAAATCGTTCCAACGCTGGGAAGTTGAAATGTTTGGTAACAAAGAAATGGCGACCGGAAATCTGTGGAAGCTGATGCACAAGCAGGGCGAAGACGGGTTGTGGATCATTAGCCGCGCTGCTAGCTTCCCATATGCGGATGTCACATTTGATTATAATACTCGTTTACTGAAATCGATGGGTGTGATTTAGAAAGTAGACAATTATTCATACGTAATAAAAACTAATAGTCGGACTTGAGAGACAGGTCGCGTTGTACGTTATACTAAAGCTATGCTCCTAGATACTGCTCGAGATTTAAATACAACATTGGGCTTTACGGCACGATCACATCGACAGACTATATACATGTCACCACGACATGAAAGTGATTCAAAGAACAAAACACATATACATAGTGATATTCTATCCTTCAGATCGAAATAAACTGTAAATATTATACTTATATTATACGTATACCTGCCATGAGTAAGTATTGACCAGGAAAGCACACAATTAAAATTATTTCGAAGATCTCGATTTTGTTTTTGTTATCTTTTGACAAGCAGTCGGATTGAGAACTGTGTTAACAAAATGCACGTTTGATCCTATTCAGATCGGAAGACAGACACGCAAAGAGATGAACGGAGAAATTATCGACTTAATACACTCATCTAGAAAAAAATCTTAAAAGAAACATTGCCATAAGTATTCTGTTTTTCCTTAAAAAGGAGACCTGAAGATAAAATATGCGTCAAAAATAAACTAAATTCACATTGAATGTAGTGATAATGGGCAGGGATAAACAATTCAATTTTAATACATTACGGATGCATTACAGCGTTACATAAAGGGTATACAAGCACTTAAATTCGAACAAATGCTGTTCTGGAATCATGACATCACTCAATTAGAATTCTATACTCGTTTTCTTTTTATTTAGCTGCAATTAATTCCTTAATGTTTAATGGTTCATATTCCGTCTTTTTAAAAAAAAGTTCGGCTTCAAGATTTTCCAACTGAAAAAGATGTTATTTGAAAGAATAGTAAAAATCACGTAGATAATTTATTCGAAATTTCAAAAATTCCAGAAACTAAATTATGTGGGATACATGCCTTAAAGCCATGAGTTTTAGAACGTACAATGTATGGTAGGCCGCGGTTGCCAAGTGGTTACGGGTTCGAGACCTACGTGGGGCAGTGGCTAGGTACTGGCCGTAGGTAGGTGGTTTTTCTTCGGAATTCCACCACCACCTGGCACGTTCTTAAATGACCTTAGCAGTTAATGGGACGTAAAACATAAATATTCCAAACCAAATATATGTTAGGCGTTGATAAACAGCGTGTTTGATATTTCTAGCTTTGTTTTCTCTCGCGGGACAGCCTTTAGATAAAATTATTTCTAGTTTATGTTTTATAATTAAATAGATAAAACTAATGTAAGAACAGTAGCAGAGACGCTTACGGAGGTCGCCATCGTGTCCTTAATTGATGAAGTGGAATATACTATTTAAACTCACATATTCAAATATTTACACGGGGAGGGAGGTAACAGCGACAGTGCAGACACTTACAAAAAATGATAAACTTTTCGAGAATATCCGTCCCTTTATCAAGGCATGCACATGAAACAATAACAAACACAAAATATAAAACAGAGCAAAATTGTTACAACCACTCATTTTGGCCGGCATGGAGCTCGAGCAGAAAGCTTTTTTTATGTGTAAAGGTAACTCCGTCTTTAGATGATTAACGAAAATGAATTATAATAAAAAATAAGGACAAAATCGTGAACACGGTGATGGTGTTTTCGAATGGTATGTGAAAATACCACTTTGTCCATATCTAAGGTATCATTTTTTATGTATTTTTTAATCATATGTCAAAGCTATAAATAAACTTGGTATTCCTGATTAATGTCACCTCACTTTGTATTAAAATAATAAAAACAGATAGAGAATGTAATTAAACATCTGTAGAATGAATCACTCCTCTTGGCAATGTGGTCAGTTAGCCCTTTCCAGGGCGACTCAATGACTCATTATACAAATTCCTTTGTATCCTCTTTGTTTTGATTCTGAGTTTGATTTTTTTACTACATCAATTCATTGCTCCTACATCAAAGAAGAGTTAAATGGATTTTTTAGTCTTCATCTTCGGTCGTATTTTTCCCGGGAAATGTGGTGATTTGTACAAGAGTGAAACAAATGATGCATAAGAAGTCTGTGCGTGTTAAACAAACAAAATAACTGTTTTGCAATAACGTTCTTAAACGAATTCATGTCTCTATGAAGTAAAGATAAAAAATAAAACAGGATTTTACGCACAAGAACTCATATTAATCGCTTTCAATATCATCTATACAAAAAACAGTATATGGGTGCAGTGCATGAACTAAGGTTTTATTCAAATGAGATTAATTTCGCACTAGACGCAGATCAATTAAAGCTTCAGAGAGTAACAATGTAAGCGTTGTCTCCCCTGAGTCATGTAAAAGTACGGGATGCCCACATTCGGCTAACCTCGGCTGATTCCGGTACCTTTCATCAATCTGCCGAGATGTGACGAGTGGGAATGCCCTGAGCATTTTTACTATGCTGACGTTTCTATTAAAAACATCATATTTCATTATTATTATTCATATAAACATGTACATCGCTTGAACTAAATCGAATTACTGAGAACTAGTACATGTAAATCATAAAAAAATATTGGTTGCCCGGTGTTAAGCAAAGGAAAAATGAAGAGATGGCAAAGATAAATAAAATTGACATAAGATCAACATTAGATGCATTCTCGTACTTGACTATTTTAAAAAGATTGATCGCAAACAGCTGATGATGATGTGTGTTAGAGTCAAGACACTACAATGGCAGGGGGATACTTACATACATTGCGGCCACCATTAAAAACTCAGAAGGTAGACTGTCTATATGTTATCTGATGGCAGTGACTCCTTAAAATTAATATTTTATTAACACAGTTCAGTGCTTTTATCTGGAATGCCCTTATAACATTGCGGCCACCATTAAAAACTCAGAAGGTAGACTGTCTATATGTTACCTGATGGCAGTGACTCCTTAAAATTAATATTTTATTGACACAGTTCAGTGCTTTTATCTGGAATGCTCTTATAACATTGCGGCCACCATTAAAAACTCAGAAGGTAGACTGTCTATATATTATCTGATGGCAGTGACTCCTTAAAATTAATATTTTATTAACACAGTTCAGTGCTTTTATCTGGAATGCTCATATAATCTTGCATCGAGCTTCGTTCACCTTTAATTTTATTCCTCAGATATTGACAAAATACAATTATACATAAATGAAAAAAAACTCAACACATATGTGACTTAAGTAAATTTGTACAGATTTCAGTCATCGTGAAATTGGAAATGACATCGGTAGCATAACTATGATCGCATATCAGTGAGTACTATACCTGGTATCGACCTAAAACTTTTGATAAAAATATGTTTTATTAACATCTCTCTATATTTTGAGTGCCCTGAATACACATCCAATCAACATCAAGGAATTGCACGCGCAAAGTAAAATTTGCATTTTGTTGACCACTGGCTTGCCTATTGCTATCACACGTTTCCTGAATCCAATAAAAGTTTGACGTGGTGACGTACTTACTATATCTATAATTTATTTCGCCACGATGAATAAATCCAAAGCGAATGCCTTTTGGGAACTATAGTTCAATAATATAATTTCTATTTCATATTAAAACGACATCATTTTCCAAACTTCGTTCTAACTTACATGGATGTGACATTGGTATGCCCCCTTATGTATCAACGTGTCTTAATGTACTAAAATAACATTAAGCATATACATGTGTATGCTTACTGCATCAATTGGCGAAGGTATAGTATACCCTGATTGAAGTAACTCCCGCTTTCAGGGAAGCATCCTCGATATCCAGAGGTTATACGCTCACTTCCGCATTCTGCACCCCTGGAATATGTCATAGCAAATTTGATGGCTCAGTGTGCGCCACCTTGTTGATGAAACAAGAACACTAGTTTGATTATTTGATTTACATCAAAAGAATATCGCGGTCACGTAACGGTAAAAAAATGACAGGCTTTGAAGTCGGCGTCTCTCCTTTGTAATCTTCAAAGGACAGGTATCAGCCTAGCGATTGGTCAGTTTTTTTTTGTTTTTTTTACCTGAGACCAATCAAACAGTTATCTTCGTTCCTTCAATTTTGCTATTATATATTTCAGGGGTGCAGAGAGCAAAAGTGAGCGTAACCCCTAGATATCGAGGATGTCAGGGAAGACGCATGATGTAGCCTTTATGCATCATGACTTAATGTAAACGAATCTTACTTGTGAAGACCAAGTTTGTTTTGAACGCTAACAGGAATTGACAATAATGTTTGCTAGCTTTCAAAAAAGTCTGTGTTCTTTCTCAAGCAATGGCACCATCAGCTGAGCCATCTTTATTGACCCCCTTTACATCCGAAAAGGGGCGAAATGGGTAAACATGTTACCGGTCCTCCTGACTGCCTGCAGTATTAGAGTGCAATTGGGCGAAATGTCTCTGTGATTTTTGACAGATAACTATACTTGATTCGGCCCACTCGAGGCTTAATGATTTGTTTTTAGCGGTTTAGAGTCGATACACTGGTCATTTACACTATTTGCTCGCAAAAGGAAGCAGACGTTTTTGAAAGCTTGCAAAATAAGTTCAATTCCTGTTTGTGTTCAAAACAAACTTAGTCTTTGTTTATCATACCAAACTGATGAATCTTATTCCGAGTTTTACTTGTATTTTTAACTCCACAAACTCTGATGAGTTAGTTTGTTTGTTATAATTCTGACGTTACAGACCTTGTAAGTATAATTCATCACAACCTCTGACTTCAATCTCTCACAATAGCATAATAACATCAAGGGACACAACTCTTACATATTACCCTGACTAATGCTAAATAAAACATTAGTTAGATTAGTAATGCCACATAAGCGGACGCAAGTTGACAAAATTCAATAAATGTGCATTTATTTTTGAGTTTGGATATTTCTTTATAGCATATTAAGTTAGGAACATTTCGTTAAAGCCGATATTAAACCTGACTTTCATCAAAGTGGAAATATAAAAGTAATAATATGTAAACTTGATAGTCGGGTCGTATGATCTCTGGCGTACTTGTCTCGCATGCTTGGAAGCTTACAAAACAAGCCAGCGTGTTTACCTAGGAGAGGACGAATATTACATACATGTATAATACTACTGGATTTTCTCCTATGTCAACGACCTTTCTACCGCTTCACTCCTCCCTATCCCGACAACGCAGTTATGTATCACTGCAGAATAAAAATGCATATTCAATATGGCATGCATGATTTCGTGGCTGAATTCATCAATGGGTATCTCTCGACAACTTTCGATAATTCTGCTAAACCTAAATTGATGTCAATTAAGCCTGTGAAATTTATTCTATCTGTGCTATTAAAATACTAACTGTTCAAGGAAGAGTGATATTCAAAAGCGCCTACACGTATGAAACAATTGTAAATATATGTAAACACCTCGATCGGCTTATTCGTTTCTTTACGAACTGATCACTTGGTCCCTCCGGTACATGTCGGCTTTATCGCAAAAGCCTTGTGGGTTGTTGTAAAAAAAGGACCAAAGTTAACGTTGTGGCGCTATTTTAGGTATGTACATGGTATTATAGCATTGCCCATTTTTACCTTTAATTCACAGGGTGTACTTTTAATCCATACTTCCTTTATAAATTCTGCTGTCTTTTGCAATATGTGGCTTTAAATTTATCATGGATACATGTATTTAATAACGTAAAGATATGATAAACGTTGTATTGAAATTATAGTCTATTCATAAAACACAATTCAATATTTCAAACTTTTATATTTTACATTGAATTATAATGCCAATTCGGGTACCTACAAGACTTACAAAATTTAGATTATTTTAATTTATTTATGTACAAATAATTGTACATATTCAACCTGCAGATCCTTCGGGGGTTTTGAGAATTCTACAAGGCTATTGCTTGTTATGTTACAGAATATATGACAGTACTATCAGTTTATCAGTGCCATATAAAAACAATACTTATTGCGATCAGTAAATTTATAAATAATGATTCAGAAAGTAACACCCTATCAATGCTTTCAAATTGATAAAAAATAGTATGACTACTTTGATTTTACAGTTTCTTATTTACAGCATACCATATTTCGATACAGATATTTGAAGTGAGCGTGTGGAGGAGGTTGCATCAGTAAATGAAAAACATATCTATATTGTCCTAATATCTGTGAGTGGGTTGTTGACATACCTATATATTTACGTCTCTCCCTTCTTCAGCTTACACTGTTAGTAAACTCTGACTTCGTATAAAGTAGCGTATACGCAGTGAAAAAGGGCTCGATGGATTGATACTTGTTTCAAAGATAGCTGCGTTCATGCTTCAACAAGATAAATGTAACAGTCCGATGACAATTTGGTTGGTTCATTCAACATCTAAATGCATATAACATATTCGGAATCCATTATGTCTAATAATAAAACAAAGGGATGCTTGCAAACTGTTTTTACATGGATGCACATGCAAATAAGGATTGACCTTCATTTTTACTGCGTATACAGTAGTGTGAACGCGGGTGGCGAAGAGTATATTCTATGATACGTCGTCAAATTCAAGGTCAATCCTTATATTTACACCCAGAACATGTTAAATGCTACAAAACCTAGACAACACAGTCGAAGCGGGTTGATACGAAGGTAACTTCGGTAGCCGTGGTTGTCAGGATAATATAGTTACAGTGAATCTACATCGATAAAAGAGTAAATTAAAAAAAATCCACAGTATACGACACTATTTTTCTTCCTGTTATAGCACTTGAATTTCAAATTAAGTAATGGGAGAAGCCCTTCGAACAATTGTATTTTGTTTATAACAGTCCTCATGAACGCGCATTGACACATGGTTCATGGAGTAGCGCGGTCGAATGTCGTTACCGTCAAAGAGAAATACTTATATCCCTCCCTTCCTCAGCTAAGCAAATTCTTACGTGCACCGTAGAATATGTTTGTTGCCAACTGCTTTCATACTACCGTATACGCCGTAAAATTGCCGTGCATTCCTTATACATGTTTACACTTGCCCCATAGTCCATGAAATAGTAATGACTTATAATACATGACAATCAGACTTGCATTATTGTATCTCTGAACTAAAGAGTAAATCGCCTGCTTTCTAGTCAATGGCTGTTAATTGTGCAAAAGAATAGATACCATTTCCCATTCTTAAAAACTGTCTTAGAAGCAAGTGTACATATAATACATATACCAATTATGAAAATGATGAAAACAAAGTATAGAGAAAGCAATGCGCTCCCACCAACCCCGATTTCTCTTGGTTAAGATACCTATAAATACATTCTTTGTTGAAGCCGATAGATAACATTATCACAGTGACCTATTGTTCTATTGACCTATATATAACAATATCACAGTGACCTTTTGTTCAACTACGCTGTATGTGCTTGTCATTCTAATGATATACAAATTGAGTATTTCACAAAACGTCACATTTATGAATTATGAAGGAAGTTTAAAATGTAACGTGGTTTGTCAAAAAACCCAACAAATACGAGTTTGGTCCACCATTTTAACCTCTCTAACCGATCTTAATTTTAAGTCATGTCGTTATAACTTGACCTAAATGTATATATATGCAAGCAATTACACTTGACGCAAATAACCACCAAAAGGTCGTAAAATGAAACCCCTCATTTAGAGCATCGTTCCTTATAACATTTTCCTCTATCAGAACACCTAACTTCTCGCTACTGTACATGCTACATACCCAACATCATTATAGACTGTAAGAATGCATATATTAAGAACCTTTCTTACTATGGTATCGTGACGTCATAATTCCTTTCTCAACGTCGTTTGTCTCTACTGTTGTTTAATATTTACTATTTTTTTACGAACAAACTCGGGATCAATTTTGCAGAGAAAGACAATTTTAGCAAAAGCATTAGCATATTTATCAGATATTATGACACTCCTTTATTGTGTGAATGTAAACAGCAATCAAAGATGGCTACTCTACTGAATCAGACCGATAGTATCTACATGCTATCGCTAATATATCATACATATCTGTACCATGTGTTAAGGTTTGTGACTGTTATTTCTTGCTTATTGATAATGCAAAGCATATATTAATCATTAGATATAAACTACAGGCACAGGACCTTGAGGATAAAAAGAACCAGTACTACCATGGTTTAGTAATCCCAGGTAACCTATACAACGACAAAAATGTTAATATTCTACCATATGGTAGTACGAATGTGTCAATTCAGTATAATGAGAATACTTTTTACTGTGTCCAACATTTAATAGGTAACTCGAAACTATTTAAAAAAATAGTTTTCTAGTGCTAATATTTGCTTTTATGTTATATTCAGATGAGCTTGTCCGGTCTGATACCCTTGTGTCACGACTAGTCGGCCTTAATAGACAGGGTGACGGGCTAGTTCATACATACATATTTTATTGACATTTAACTGTCAAAGGGATATGACACAGGTTCTTACAAATTACTAGGCCCCCTCAGGTTTGTTATCTGATTCTTTTTCAAAAATGGAGATTGCAATAAATTAGTTTTTTCCGATATATCGGAGTAGTAAAGGGTCACACACATGACAAGCACCACTTAAGTACGCTGTACTTTTGTACGGTACACTGTATGGACGATTGGAAATGTTTTGACACATTCTGTTTGTACAGCGCCATAGCGTAACCATGATATATATTCGCTCCCCTCAGCCAACTCTATTTTCTAACTGTCTTGAATCCCTTCTCTTCTTTTCCTGTAAGTATTAATGCAACAACACTCAATGCCGTCCTATGGCCGTTTAACGAATGTAAGAAGACGGATAAATGTTAGTAATCTGTAATTTTTTCGAAGCCTGGTATTATGTTTATTATTATTTCTATTGTAATATATTGGCAATATAATTTAAACTAACGGTACATTTCGTATTACACGTAATTCTTAAAACCTACGTTCTGTTAAGATAACTTTGTATTTGGAAAGTGAATAAATTTGTTGGAATTCAAACCCAAAATCCATAAAAGTAGTGCAGAATATGCACAAATGATAGAATATCAAGACCAAGGTCAAGGATATTAAGACCAAGTGTTTCGGAATGGTCAGCGTTTCCTTCTTCATTGAAGATACCCGCCATGTTAATCTAGATGAAATCAAAGTGATGCTAGTAATAAAGAAACCCCAACTCATACTAATGAGCATACTATAACACTAAGATCTAATTTCATTGAAGCAAATATATTATTTTTCTTTCAGATAATTATTGAGACAATAGTTTTCATCAACCTGCATCTCACGAAATCTTTTGTTGTTAATATATCCGTCAGCCGTTGAAATCCATCACAATGATCGTAATATTCATACCAAGACCTTGAATACCTGATAAACACGTGGATAGAACAGCAGCAAAAAGAAACAAAACTCAAATGTAATCTTATTAACTGAATCTTTCTGAAGTCATTTCCAATCCTATTATGTAATACAACTGAAAAATAAGGTTCAGAGTGTTCATAGCCAACTTTAAAATAATAACACAAAAGTACGGGAATTCTATCCCGATGCGTATGAATAGATGAACTCTAGAAATTAGCGTGTGTGTTCATATAAACAACATTTCGCAAATGTCAACAGGTAAACAGTTGACGCCTAAGTGGATATCAACACGCCCTTTAAAGACATTATATCTAGATGCGTACTGGTTTAACAAGTTTATTTCAACTTCTTGACACGGCGCACACAACAGCATGATGGGGACGCTTGTGATGCTGATGTGTATCCTAGTCGGGTGTTTTCAGGTAGGTTCACATATACTGTACATATTTATCGTTATTTTATGCTCTGGTATCGTTAAATTATCAAACTGTTACATTTTGTTAACAATTTTATATGAAACAGCATCAGGTTATTGTGTTTGCTTTTTTGCATAAAGCTTATCATTATTATTTGCCCGTTATTCTATAATATACAATGAATTTTTAATATCTGTATATTTAATTATAATACTTTTTTCTATTTTCTATTATGAGTAATTGATTTCTCCTTTATTATTTTGAAACTTAAGTTTTTGAAGAAATGGACGATTATTAAAAAAAGCGTTTAGTATTATAGTTTCAGATATATGGTTATATCACTTTCTTAATTATGATTTTATTTAGACATTTTTTGTTATTATTGTATAGGCGATTGGAGGGATGCCACCTTTAGAGCGAGATCTCATTGAGTTGTTGGAAAGTAAGTCTATATTCACTATATTGTATTCACTATTTCAAACGTCTTAGCGAACATGTATTTGGAAGGTAGTTTTAAGACAAAGTGTTAAAGCTCAATAAAATCAGAAAACATCGAATATTGTATGAAATACTTATATACTATGGACTTTTGTTGAGGTGAGTAAGTGATTATATGGTCCAGAGAACGTAGTATCGACCGATACCTATTTTACACTAATGTCCTCTTAATTGTACCATTAACGTCTTTTTATTTTACCATACATTTGTATGTGTCTTATCAATTGTACCATATAAGCCTTTTTTAATTTACGATTTACCTCATTTTGTCTGTACCATATCGTCTTTTTAATTGAACTATATGCTCAGTCGCTAATTAAGCATAGAAGATCTAAAAACCAACTTTTAAATATGTTAAAGGGGCATCACGGTGAAGTAACTTTATTTTTTGTCTTTTTTTCAAATACTACGTCAACATATCAAGTGAGACTCCTTATGGAAAATAACGATCGGATTTTGCTGAAATAGATTCATAAAAATGATTAAATCTAAGAAAATTATCGGTATTTCTACCTGTCTGACCAACGTTTTGTTCAGGGATTTCCCTCTACTAGCGCATGCGCATAACACACCATTTCTTTGTAAACAAAATGACTGGCCGTGTGAAGTAAGCGAAAGAAAAGTGTTGTACCGTGTCAGCTACGAAACGAAAAGTTGCCAAATGGTCAAAAGATAGCGCAAGGAGTACGTTACGGAATCATTATTGCAGGTGGGCAGTATTCAAAGGAGAAAATAACTGCCGTAGCAGTTAGTACGGTGCATGTATTCTTCCGGATAGCCGGTTAAGCTGAAATGGAATCGACAGAAATGCTAGCGCTGTTTATGTTATGAATAAATATCTAACACTATTAAGCTCGCTAGTATCTTTGTCTGAGTTTGAACATAGATGAACTTAGTTTAATATGTTAATGGGCATGTATTGGAGAGAGTTTACTTTGTGTTTCTATAATCATACAGTGGTTTATGCGAAAGGAAGGGATAAGTGACTGGTTAGTTTGATTTTGCCATGAGGCCCTCCAAGGGATAACTGTTGAGATGGCCCACGGCGTATTTTCTGGGTCACCGGATTTACATAATTTATAATATTACCGGGTTCAATAAAATGGTATGATTTAATTATATTGCTGAATTAAACGATTATTTTTGTTTTTACATTCAAGATTTAAATTAGTACTAATATGAAAACCCGGCCTCCTCTGCCCCGGCAATATATAAAAAAAAATCAGAAAGTTTGTCCCTTTGTTTAGCCCCGCACAGCTGTACCGGCCACATTCCGGTACTAAATTCAATATATATTTAAATATATCTACTTTATGTTTATGCCTATTATCATTGTTGACATTTAATTGTAAATGTATGACGGGAGAAGGCTGTGATAAATTGTGAAAACTTGTGCCCCATCCCTTGTTTAATGTTATTGGCAACACATTTATGTTTAAAGCTAAATACATTTAAATTCATTGGCAAGTGTGCAATTAACTTCTAATGATGAATAATTACTGTTCAATAAGTTTGAATACGGACTTAGAAATGATATAACTTGGTTTCATAGTGCGGTAAGAAGTTGCAGTTGCCTGGCGGCCCCTCTCTGGGGGCCCCTTTGGAAAGCGTTTCATATCGCTCAACTAACTGCCTAGTCAGGTGACGTTATCGGCGCTATTTTTAGCAGGGCTTTCCCGAACAATTCAAGTGGTCAAACTGGACATTTGGAACGGACTATGAATATGGGGATAGCGAGGTAACATAAGTGGAAGTGCATACAATACATACATTCATTAAAAAAAAAAACGCCTTTTCACGTGATGTCCCTTTAATAGAAAAGTGTTGAGTGATTTAATAATTTAGATATTTAATTGTTTAGTGTTGTTATGTTACTAGTAACGCTAAATAGTTAGATTATAAGTATAGTGAAGGTGTCAGAAGAAAAATTATGTTACGATCTTTAATAAGAATTAATAATATTTTATTATGAATTGGATTTTTAAGTCTGTCTAAAACTGTGTATTTCCTTTAACTACCTCATTATGAGTATTTCTGTTTTTTGTATATAACCTATTCTGTTTGAATATATTTCGTTTATAGTCGCAAGAGGTCGTAAGCATAATCAAAATCACGATTCAAGTTCATCGTCCTCGTCGTCCTCATCGTCCTCAGAAGAAGAAATAGAAATTTCGGAGCCGGGATTTCCCTCTATCTTAGGGCCTGAAAGTTTCGATGATAGGATCGCCATTGTAGGGGCTGGACCTGCTGGTGTTCACATGGCTTTGAAACTGAAGGTTGGTTTTGCACTGTAACAGGGTATAACTCTATATATGTATGTTCACGTACCTACTTTTTAAACATAAGGCTATCGTATTTTTTTACACTTTTAAGATTGTCGGATTACACTGTTAATTAATGTAAAAAAATATCCGAAAAACGGAATGAATTTGTATCTTGGAAAGTGAGACATCGTCAAAACAACATGAACAAATATACAAATCATATACAGAAACAACAGGATAACATGAAAATGTATAAATTCTTATACAGAAATAACAAGTTAACAAGAAAATATATAAAATCACATACATAAACGACAGGTTTATAAGAAAATATACAAGATTATATACACCAACAACAGGTTGATAGGAAAACATACACAGTCATATACAGTAACAACAGGTTAATAGCAAAATATATACAATCATATACAGAAACAACATGTTAACAAGAAAATATACCAAGGCATATATAGAAAAAACAGGTTAACAAGAAAATATATAAAATCACATACAGAAATGACAGGTTTATCAGAAAATATACAAAATTATATACACCAACAACAGGTTGATAGGAAAACATACACAGTCATATACAGTAACAACAGGTTAATAGCAAAATATATACAATCATATACAGAAACAACATGTTAACAAGAAAATATACTAAGGCATATATAGAAAAAACAGGTTTACAAGAAAAATATATAAAATCACATACAGAAACAACAGGCTAAGGGGAAAATATATGTATCATATACAGAAAAAAACAGGTTAACAAGAAAATATACAAAATCATACAAAGAAACAATAAATAATTAAGAAAATATGCAAAATCATATACAGAAACAACAGGTTAACAAGACAATATATAAAATCAGATACAGAAACAACAGGTTAACAAGACAATATATGAAATCACATACAGAAACCTCAGGTTTATAAGAAAACATACAAAATCAGATACCGACACAACATGTAAACAATAAGATGTCTACAATCATATACTGAAACAAGAGGTTAACAAGAAGATATGTAAAATCATATACTGAAACAACAGGTTAACAAGAAGATATATTAAATTCTTTACTGAATCCACAGGTTAACAAGAAGATGGATAAAATCATATACAGAAACAACAGATTAACAAAAAGATACATAAAATCAAATTAAGAAACAATAGATAATTAAGAAAATATATAACATCATATACAGAAACAACAGGTAAACAAGAAAATATACAAAATCAGATACATAGACAACAGGTTAACAAGAAATATATAAAATCACATACAGAAAAAAAGGTTAACAAGAAAAGATACAAAATCATTTAAAGAAACAATAGATAATTAAGAAAATATACAAAATCATATACAGAAACAACAGGTTAACACGACAATATATAAAATCTGATACATAAACAACAGGTTAACAAGAAAAGATATATAAAATCACATACAGAAACAACAGGTTAACAAGAAAATATATACAATCATATACAGTAACAACAGGTTAATAGCAAAATATACACAATCATATACAAAAACAACAGGTTAACAAGAAAATATATAAGATCACATACAGAAACAACAGGTTAACAAGAAAATATATAAAATCACATACAGAAAAAAAGGTTAACAAGAAAATATACAAAATCATTTAAAGAAACAATAGATAATTAAGAAAATATACAAAATCATATACAGAAACAACAGGTTAACAAGACAATATATAAAATCTGATACATAAACAACAGGTTAACAAGAAAAGATATATAAAATCACATACAGAAACAACAGGTTAACAAGACAATATATAAAATCAGATAAAGACACAACAGATAGCAAGAAGATGTATACAATCATATACTGAAACAACAGGTAAACAAGAAAATATACAAAATCAGATACATAAACAACAGGTTAACAAGAAGATGTATACAATCATATACTGAAACAACAGGTTAACAAGAAGAGATATAAAATCATATACAGAAACAACAGGTAAACAAGAAAATATACAAAAGTATATACAGAAACAACAGGTTAACAAGAAAATATATGCAATCATATACAGAAAAAACAGGTTAACAAGAAAATATACAAAAGCATATATAGAAGCAACAGGTTAACAAGACAATATATAAAATCAGATACAGAAAAAAGGTTAACAAGAAAATATACAAAATCATTTAAAGAAACAATAGATAATTAAGAAAATATACAAAATCATATACAGAAACAACAGGTTAACAAGACAATATATAAAATCTGATACATAAACAACAGGTTAACGAGAAAAGATATATAAAATCACATACAGAAACAACAGGTTAACAAGACAATATATAAAATCAGATAAAGACACAACAGATAAACAAGAAGATGTATACAATCATATACTGAAACAACAGGTAAACAAGAAAATATACAAAATCATATACAGAAACAACAGGTAAACAAGAAAATATACAAAATTATATACAAAACAACAGGTTAACAAGAAAATATATGCAATCATATACAGAAAAACAGGTTAACAAGAAAATATACAAAATCATATAAAGAAACAATAGATATTTAAGAAAATTTGCAAAATCATATACAGAAAGAACAGGTTAACAAGACAATATATAAAATCAGATACAGAAACAACTGGTTAACAAGACAATATAAAAAACATATACAGAAGCAAGAGGTTAACAAGAAAATATACCAAGGCAAATATAGAAAAAACAGGTTAACAAGTAAATATATAAAATCACATACAGAAACAACAGGTTAACAAGAAAATATATAAAATCACATACAAAAAAAACAGGTTAACAAGAAAATATACAAAATCAAATTAAGAAACAAAAGATAATTAAGAAGATATATAAAATCATATATTGAAACAACTGGTTAGCAAGAAAATATACACAATCATATACAGTCACAACAGGTTAATAGCAAAATATACACAATCATATACAGAAACAACAAGTTAACAAGAAAATATGCAAAAGCATATATAGAAGCAACAGGTTAACAAGAAAATATACAAAATCAAATTAAGAAACAATAGATAATTAAGAAAATATACAAAATCATATAACAACAGGTTAACAAGACAATATATAAAGTCTGATACATAAACAACAGGTTAACAAGAAGATATATAAAATCACATACAGAAACAACAGGTTAACAGGACAATATATAAAATCAGATAAAGACACAACAGATAAGCAAGAAGATGTATACAATCATATACTGAAACAACAGGTTAACAAGAAAAGATATAAAATCATATACAGAAACAACAGGTAAACATGAAAATATACAAAATCAGATACAGAATTAACAGGTTAACAAGAAGATATATAAAATCAAATTAAGAAACAATAGATAATTCAGAAAATATACAAAATCATATACAGGAACAACAGATTAACAAGATAATATATAAAATCAGATAAAGACACAACAGATAAACAAGAAGATGTATACAATCATATACTGAAACAACAGGTTAACAACAACACAACATTCATATCCAACCACTTTCAAATTCTAACAAGACCTACGTCCGATTATTTCATTATTCTAGTGATACGGTTGGTGCTTAAACACCTAAATGAAAATTGTTCTTGTTGTCTTTTCGTATGTTTTGGTATCTCCTCAGAATCTGTGGTCAAACATCGACCCATATCAACATTCGAACTAATATGGAGGTGTAGGGCTGATACACAGTAGAATATGAAAATGGTCATATGATGATTAGTTAAATCCTTTTATTGATATTGTATGACTTCAATCGGTCAATGATATTATGCCCTGTCCTAGAGAGTATGGAGCATTCACATTCTTGTGATCAACTGTCGTCAATTTCATATAGGCGTATATTCATTTAAAAGGCTGTGTATTTTAACGTAAAACTTCCTATGAATATCATTCTGATGACTAAGTAAGTGTTTACCAACTTCAATCTCTATCGCCTGAATAAACCTGTATGTTCACAGCAAATTTAAAATTGATATCAGTGCGTTCAAGAAGTGGAACTGCTACGCATTATCGTCAATTACCTATATTTCTACGATATAACATTTTAAATTGATATATAGAACGTTTTCTACTCTAGGTTTCCAGTAAACAAGATATAATCAGTTTTTAATTGATATTGATTTTAGTATACTCTACATTAAGTATTGCACAAGGGTATATATAAACGTACTAGGCCAAATGGATATAAATCGTTGTTATACTAGGTATCAAGTAGTTTAAGGTTCAACGGTTTCATCAAATACATCTTAAATAACCTTTAACAATCTGTATGCATGGGATGGTACGTCAAGTCACGAAATGGTCGTTTTGTGTGGATATGTTCAATTTATAATTGGATAAACACGGATCCGTGGGAACAAGGTACGCAAGGCACTTTCATCATATCCTAGGAATGATTGAGATCCTCCTGTCATCGGTTATAGGGAGGCACGGTAGTCTAGTGGTAGGACGCCGAGAGATCGTGACCGAAGGGTTGCGGGTTCGAGTCACGGCACGGCACTGTGTTGTATGATTGAGCAAGATACTGTACTTCTCTTGTTCAAGTCTACTCAGCTGTAAATAAGTACGTGGTTGGGCAGTGCTAGAATTAATGAATGCTACCTGTGAGCGCCGAAATGGCAGCACCGGCCGAATGCTTCCCTGGGAGTTGAGAAAGATATTGGCTGGGTGCAAAGGCCCTATAACCACGGATAATAATTAGTGAATCACTTTGCTACGCCCTTCGAACTAGGTTGAGATAAAGCGGTACATAAGAATTATTATTATTTTATTATTACCCGAAAACTTCACCTGGCTCTGTTTCACGATGAACAGTCTTACAATATCGCTTGTACATGTATGTTGGAATAGGAGAGATGACAATTGATTGAAATAGAAACGAACTTAATGATTTCAAACCTCCCATTAAACGGAATCAACTCTTAAAAGGAATGACACTATATCAACGAAATAGAACATTTCAACAGATTCTGTGGTCATATGATGATTAGTTAAAACCTGTTTTTGATATTGTATAACTTCAGTCGGTCATTGATGTTATGCCCTGTCCTAGAGAGTATGGGGCATTCAAATTCTTCTGATCAGTTCTCATCATTATTTTGCACTGTCGTCAATTTCATATCGCCGTATATTCATTTAAAAGGCTGTGTATTTTGATGTGAAACTTCCCATGAATATCATTCTGATGACTAAGTAAGTGTTTACCAACTTCAATCTCTATCGCCTGAATAAACCTGTATGTTCACAGCAAATGTAAAAGTGATATCAGAATGTTCAAGTAGTGGAACTGCTACGCATTATCGTCAATTACCTATATTTCTACGATATAACATTTTAAATTGATATATAGAACGTTTTCTACTCTAGGTTTCCAGTAAACAAGATATAATCAGTTTTTAGTTTATATTGATTTTAGTATACTCTACATTCAGTAATGCACAGAGGTATATGTAAACGTACTAGGTCAAATGGATATAAATCGTTGTTATACTAGGTACCAAGTAGTTTAAGGTTCATCAGTTTCATCAAATACATCTTAAATAACCTTTAACAATCTGTATACCTGGGATGGTACGACTGTCACGAAATGGTCGTTTTGTGTGGATATGTTCAATTAGTAATTGGTGAAACATGGATCCGTGGGAACAAGGTGGGCCCCGCAAGGCACTTTCATCATATCCTAGGAATGATTGAGATCCTCCTGTCATCGATTATAGGGAGGCACGGTAGTCTAGTGGTAGGACGCCGAGAGATCGTGACCGAAGTGTTGTGGGTTCGAGTCACGGCACGGCACTGTGTTGTATGATTGAGCAAGATACTGTACTTCTCTTGTTCAAGTCTACTCAGCTGTAAATAAGTACGTGGTTGGGCAGTGCTAGAATAAATGAATGCTACCTGTGAGCGCCGAAAAGGCAGCACCGGCCGAATGCTCCCCTGGGAGTTGAGAAAGATATTGGCTGGGTGCAAAGGCCCTATAACCACGGATAATAATAAGTGAATCGTTCTGATACGCCCTACGAACTAGGTTGAGATAAAGCGGTACATAAGAATTATTATTATTTTATTATTACCCGAAAACTTCACCTGGCTCTGTTTCACGATGAATAGTCTTACAATATCGCTTGTACATGTACCATGGAATAGGAGAGATGACAATTGATTAAAATAGAAACGAACTTAATGATTTCAAATCTCCCATTAAACGGAATCAACTTTTAAAAGAAATGACACTATATCAACGAAATAGAAAATTTTAACATTTAATGAAAAATATTGAATGAATATAACCAGACCAAAACAATAGCACACTTATATTAAATAACAAACCGAAAAGGATAAGTTGATTTAGAAATATAGATTTAAGTCTTTCATTGATTTTAAAGATCATTCTTACTATAGTAACGTCATAGTTAGGAACAATTCAAATTACCACTTTTTACAGAGTCCGATTCAAATGTATGTAATACATGGCGGGATTCTTTTTTTAGCATAAAAACCGACTATGAAATCTCTCTACCATTATGGACGAATTTGTTTATCCTGTTCAACATTTTCAAATGATTGAACCTGAAATAAAACGGTTGGCACAGATGAAAAGAGAGATTGACTTTTTGGAAATCCGGCCAGTACCTGTTAGGGGTCTATTTGTGCCTGTTAGGGGTTTTGATGTCCCTGTTAGGTGTCTAGATGTGCATGTTAGGGGTCAAGATGTGCCTGTTAGGAGTCTAGATGTGCCTGGTAGGGGTCTAGATATGCCTGTTAGGGGTCTATATATGCCTGTTAGGGGTCTAGATGTGCCTGTTAGAGGTCTAGATGTGCCTGTTAGGTGTCTAGATGTGCCTGTTAGGTGTCTAGATGTGCATGTTAGGGGTCTAGATGTGCCTGTTAGGAGTCTAGATGTGCCTGGTAGGGGTCTAGATATGCCTGTTAGGGGTCTATATGTGCCTGCTAGAGGTCTAAATGTGCCTGTTAGGGGTCTAGATGTGCCTGTAAGTGGTCTTAATGTGTCTGTTAGGGGTCTTGATGTTCCTGTTAGGTGTCTAGATGTGCATGTTAGGGGTCTAGATGTGCCTGCTAGAGGTCTAGATGTGCCTGTTAGGGGTCTAGATGTGCCTGTTAGGAGTCTAGATGTGCCTGTCAGGGGTCTAGAGTGCCTGTCAGGGGTCTAGATGTTCCTATTAGGGGTCTACATGTGCCTGGTAGGGGTCTAGGTGTGCCTGTTAGGGGTCTATATGTGCCTGTTAGGGGTCTAGATTTACCTGTAAGGGGTCTAGATGTGCCTGTCAGGGGTCTAGATGTGCCTGTTAGTGGTCCAGATGTGCCTGTTAGGGATCTAGATGTGCCTGGCCGATAACTAATGGCTGATTATTGCTGATTGGCAGCGTTTCTTAATCAAACAAGCTCGATTATTAAATATGAATAACGACCCACAAATGCATAGAAGTCGAAATTGTGCTTATTTTAGCATACCTTTTCCGTTGTACAGTGAACCACCTTCAGTCCAAGTATGTTCCACCTGAACTGTTCCAACCGAAAACGCAAAAACTAAAGAAATATTAACTAAAACTGTGAACTCGAAAAAGGAAAAGAAAGATAATATGATGAATACATGTAGATAGATTAGAGATAACTGGTCACACGATCGTAAGTATCTGTATTGACGACTAAACCGGATTCCATGTCTCAAAAGATTCCTAAAAATAACCCACAAAAAAACAAGTATTCCTAAGAATCTGCAAAACCAAAATTCGAACTCAAATCAGTACTACTATTGCAAAATATGAGCTAAGAAAATATTTACACGGAAATGCTTGAAAAAGTACGAAAATATAAGGGCCATGTGTTCTGAAAGGGTAAGCGTACTTCGCTTTATCGACGACCCCCGCCATCTATATATATTTCAAATCGAAACAAATTCACGTTATCATACCGCTGATAGGGGAAGTGGAGTAAGCGACAGAAACACCGCAAGGCAAGTTAATGAATTAAATAAAACAATCCGCCTTAATATCACATGAAAAACCATGTTTTCCAAATGATCATGATGGCAATCATAAAGCTTGCCCATAGTCTTCATAAACAAGAATCTTCAAAACACTGTGTTGTAAGTTTGTCCTACAGCAGTCGACCTCTTTCACAGAAACCATGTTATTCGGAGCAGGCTATTGAATACCAAATCAACCGCAACATACCAACATCATATGTATGTATTTATCAAGCGAAATAAAATTTACAACCGGTGAATTCGTCCCGCTATCTTACAGCTTATTACAATATCATTAGTCATCTTATTTATTATTAAAAAATGTTGAACATCTAAAGCGTTGACAAAAAACACTTAAAACATGTTTATTTAATTGGCAATTACGAGGCCAAATCTGAGAATTTCAATGTAACATTTCCATCCTAATGGCATTCATGAGAAATATGTTTTCGATTGAAAAGCGAAAATATACTTTATAAGTCGTCTATTAGAAATCTGTATTTTAATTTAAACAGACCAGTATTAAATACTTTGTCAAATGTAGCCCACGTGAGGTGTTGTTTTTCCAAAATTTCCAAAACAAGGACGAAATAAACCACATTCTAGAACACAAACACATACATGTAGAATACCACATTCACAACCTCAGCATACAGTGCCACAGCACATACATGTAGAATACCACATTCACAACCCCAGCATACTGTGACACAACACATACATGTAGAATACCACATTCAGAACCTCAGCATACTGTGACACAACACATACATGTAGAATACCACATTCACAACCTCAGAATACAGTGACACAACACATACATGTAAATTACCACATTCACAACCTCAGCATACAATGACACAACACATACATGTAGAATACCACATTCACAACCCCAGCATACTGTGACACAACACATACATGTAGAATACCACATTCACAACCTCAGCATACTGTGACACAACACACACCAAAGCGTTAACAAGCCAAAGCATGGAAAGATCAAATATACCACAATGTCTAAATCTCGCTAGAGTTGTAGGTTTGATATACTTTATGCACTTTCCGGCATGTCACATAAACAACCAAAAGAATATATGAGTGAAAAAGGTCACCGTATGGTGACTTTTAATATATTTTCAAACAAATAATACCCAAGGTATACCAGACTAGGTGAATGGTTAACACAATAGTTCTGTACTGTGTGACCTTTTTGTTTACAAATGTTTACAATGGCGCGCTGTTTACAATTTTTTATCAATGGCGCCCTCAATGCAGATTACCCACAATCCTCTGCTTTTAAATCAAGGCGTGTAACTCTTCCTATCCCTAGCTTTTATGCATGGGAGACAGCTCTTCGATACCTATTTGTTATTTACTCAAATAAAGGAGTGGCCCTCCTTTCTCGTTCGGACGATCACTTCCGAACGGGTCGTGGTGGTTGGTTATTTGCTGTAAGCATAAGCAACCGATAAGACATGTGTTGCATTGCTAAGTTTTATCTCATTTGTTGATTTAAAGTTTTTGTATGCTTAAATTAACTAAAAAGTCGTTGAAATGATACAATTTCATGGTTTTATATTATTCAGAGGGCAGGATTCCGAAACGTTGTAGTGTTTGAGAAGGAAGATAAAGTAGGCGGAAAGTCGAAGACTCTTACTTACCGAGATGTAGTTCATGAGATGGGATCATGTTATACCCAACCGGATCACACAGAGCTGTACGAACTTCTAGAAACTTACGATGCTGGGAATCTACTTCCGGTACCTGGTGTCACAATTTGGAGGGGACAAGGTAACATAACCGTGAAATTTTCAAAAGTCAATAGTCAAAAGACTAGGGCGTCAATCCTGGCCTCTTAACATACCAATTTCTGTCATATTGTTTAATTAGGACTATCTTTCTTGGTGGATTTTTTCAGTGCTTTTGTGTAGATATACTACAATAGTATGAAAAGTGCGTTGCTATGCAGAAATAGCCAAAAAATGATGTAGGGGCAGTTAACATTCAGAAATGAAAGCCTCTGCATGTGCCAATCAAAATATTGTTTCTACAAATGAACATTTGTATGGAAATGATTCAGCATGTCAAATATTTATTTGTTTGTTGCATGTGGTATATGGAGTAGTGAAAGGTGAGGCAAGTATAATTTAATAAGAACAGGTAAATAAAAAGTAATTTACACTGTATAGTGCATGCATAATGTGGCACATTTAAGCGAAAGGTAGAATATGTAATAGTAAGGGAATGCTGTATTTGTAAATGAAAGATGAGGTAGTTTATAAAGTATTGGAACGCAATATAGTAGAGTTAAATCAAAGATAATTTAGGCTATATAATTGTAAGAAAATGAAATGTAAGTAAAAGGAAATGAGGCATGTTTTAGTTGAATAGTGTAACATTAATCTGGAAGGTAATGTGACATTATGGAAGTTGAACTTTATGAAAAATATGTTGATGTAAGGAAATGATGCAGACTTGTGTTTCAGGTTTAAGTCGAAGGTTATGTAGCATATGTCTGAGAAAAGTATTGTGTCAAAGTTAAGTCAAAGCATACAGCATATGTTAGTGTAAAGAAATAAAGTATATGTTAGTGAAAGGAAGTTTAAACAAAAGTGAAAGATTACGTAGGAAATAATTGACAAGTGATATTCAAGAGCTTAGTGAAAGTTAATATAGAAAATGTTACTGTGACGTAATGAAAAACACTCATTGGATGTAAAAGTGGCGATAAGCATAACGAACGCAAGTGGAAATTAATTTAGGGTGTTTATGTGGAGGGATGTACATGTGCCCTGTTGAGAAGAAGGTACTGTCTGGAAGGTTTATATGGAACGTGCGAGATGGAAAGCAGTTTAGTGCTAGATAAAACAACGGCATGGAATTACATAGGTTGTTCATTACGTCCGTGTTGAGTAATTACTTTGTTCAAAATGCTTTAATATGTAAACTTAAAGTGATATGATTTCCACGTATTAATCACATACGGAGCATCTTCATTTCATCATATTTTATTGAGTAAACAATAGGATTGAACAGCAGGCTAGGCCTATATAAATTCTCTCTTGAGGTTGACATGACAAAGACAAAGATGAATGAAATGGTTTGTTAGAAAATATTAATGCAAATTATATATAATAAGTAGCAAAGACATATATATAAAAGATGGTATAGGGGAGATAATTCCATGTATGTTTAAATTACATATAAATATTTAATTGATAATTTTAGCTATACAATGCTCTTATTAAAAAGTCATTAATGCCCCCTGTTCATACCCTGCTGCTGTTGCATTGAGTAGTTAAAAGTATAGAACCATTTAGTATCAATATATATATCATTGGTAGGAGTGATAACAAGTAAGGGATACACCAACAACAACAAAATATGAAAAAATAAAATGAGGCAATTCAGCTAGAAGATTTTGAAAATGTAGTGTAAGTGTAAGATGAATTGCCAGTGTTCTATGAGTAAATCTTTCATCCTATGAGTTTCAGACAAAAAGTCTTTAACGGTCTCTACCGTTCACATACTACCCACTCGAGAAGAATCCAGATTCAGAACACACAGCATTCAAACTTAGCATATTTATGTTTTACTTTATTGCACCCATCAGTAAAAACAGCACCCAAAGCTTAATCCTTTAGGTGTATAATATTAAAACATCAATGTATGATATAACAATCAGTAGAATCACATAATGGTTTAGGGACAGTATTTTATCAGTTATGACTGTATATAACAAAATTTATAGATTGTTTTGATTAATTTAACAAGTCTTCTTGTGTTGTATATATATTTAAGAACACTATCAAGTACATATTTATTTTCAGTATTGTTTAACATAGTGCTTCAATTAAGAAGTATTTTAGTATCAAGATTAACCGGACACACTTCAAAAATCTCATTTATTAAAGTTTGTCTCTCATCAGTATACATTGGACATTGTAAAAGATAATGTGTAGCAGTTTCATAAGCATCACCACACAGACAAGATGGGGCAGCATCTAATCATACAAGGGAATTGCTATTAATACATTCGTTAGATAGGTTATCCTCTCAGTAATTCTCTGAGCGACGTTGGTAAAGAATGTTTGTGTTGAGAATAACCATACGGCTTTCTCATGGGTTATAAATTATGATGGTTTCTTATTTGTTATTACAGCCATTATTCCAGGACATATAGACACACTTATCCCTGTCGCCCAAAGCTTGCCCGAGAATGCGACTATTGAAGATATCGAAAACGCCTTCCTTGCCGCGGTTAACCGATACGTAACTGTTCATCAGCAATTATTTGGAAATTACTCCGGTGAATTGATGCCTCGTCCGGATGAAAACGTATTTAAAAAGGAACTCAACATGACGTTTTTGCAGTTTTTGGAGAAGTATGAAGCAGAATCTCTTGCACAAATCTTTCTTCAGACGCACACAATCCAGGGCTATGGTCATTTAGACGAAATTCCGGCATTGTATGGATTGACATGGTTGACCCCGAACTTTCTAATAAAACTACTTAACCCTACACCAGAAGAAGTATCGAATATCAAACAACTTAGTAGAGGTTATCAAACGGTATGGGAGGAAATTGTTAGACAGGAAAACATCGACGTTCGACTTTCCAGTCCAGTCCGAAAGATATTTCGAAAGGGGAAAAAGGAACGAGGAATGAAAAGAAAGAACCGTTCGGAGTTCACTATACTATATGATAATGCTTACATCTACGGACGGAAAGAAGAATTTGACTTTCTGATACTGACCCCCGAGATGAAATTGCTATCCGATTTGGAAATCATTGACTTCAACGAAGAGGAAAGTGCCCTGTTTGAGAAAATGAATCATTATTACTACGCAACGTCGCTGGTTGATACTACATACGGAGATCTTAGGGGATTAACGCCACATAGTTTCTTCGCTGATAATGTGGAATCAAAGGAGGACATGAAGGTTTGGGTTAAGAGAGACTCATATAACAGTCTCCAATATAATGTAGGAGAGAATTACACCAAAGGCTTGGTTCCTGGAGCTCCAGATGGAAAATTCATACAAACCTCGGTATATTATCAATTCTCGAAAGCAAGACCTAACGAGACAGATCTAGAGAACGAGTTAAAGACACACATTGAAGATAGAGAGGAAGCAACTATGTTGAACATCCGCGATGTCTTCATATGGGATTACTTTCCACAGTTCTCCGTTGCTGACATTGCATCAGGAATAACATGGGATATATTTGACATCCAGGGAAAGCATAAAATTTGGTATGCAGGATCCTCTGTGTATTTCGAGTCAGTTAAATCTGTTTTGGAGTACAACAACCTGATATTCCGTCAGTACTGCCTGCCCGAAGAAGAATAGTACCTCAACAAATGGTTGATTTCCATTTCGAAGCAGACCAGATCCAGAATATAATACAGATCATTTACTTCAAAAGTATAAGCTTATACTACAGTTATACCATATCAAATATTTAAATTAGTGCAACGAGTTTGGAGCCATTTTTTTTTACATCAGTTTATATAGTTTTATACAGTAGCACAAAAAGCAAGAACCCGAGCGCTTAACCCCGGCAATATTGTATTAAAACCCTTCACCGACCCGTACGGATTCGTTGTTTTCAATGAGACGAAATCAATCAACAACTAAATGGCATACATGAGTCACCCAGGTGACAGATTTTGATCGCCTGTCATCCATCGTCATGTTGTGCGATGTGGTCGTGCATTAATAATAACATTTTCTTCTCAGAAACCGTCAGATTTTAATGAATTTTGATTGAAATTATTAACCAATTATGGGGATGGTAGGGATCATCATCGTTACTCAAAATAAGTCTGCCTCCAAGGGAGTGAGGGTTTGGACAGTAATTAGTCACAAAGTGTAGAAACCTTCATAATGCTTCTCCTCTGTAACTTACCGGTAGTTTTTCACCAACAGTTTATGGGTTGGTGCTTTGGTAATTTTTAAACTCAAGAAAGGACTGACAGCAGGTGGCTCATAGTGGGTCACTTAATGCAAAACCTGAAACAATCATGTTTTTGACTCATCGTCAGAAACTGGAATACAAATCTATACTTCTGGTAGAGCGGGTTCATAACAGGTCATATTGCGTTTTGTCCAAATAGTGAATTGCATTACTCGAGGATCAATAATCCCCGTTAAGGAGAGAATATATATTCATTTTTAATTATTCATGCTGGTATTTAGCGCCTCTCTAAACATGGATATATGTGGGTCATTCCCCAAAACTCTTTTTTAAACGCAAATCTACAGTCAAACGACTCTTTTGTATATATGTAACTTTTATTCTTTGTCACATCACAATAACAAGTAACAATTGTATGTTAACTCAGGTGACTGCTAAGGCACATTGGCTTCTCGTTAGCTTAACAGAACAACGGTAGTATGATAGTGAAAGGAGGTATATATTGTATTTTATGAAGAGAAAAAGTATATTAATATATCTTATATTTCTATTTTGTGACTACACTCTTTCGCGATTAAAGACTCCTGCGAATTTTTATTGGGTTAATAACTTCTTTCAATATTAAAAATAGCAACTCAATCACTGGTTCAAGTAAAATTTCCACGTTTATTTCTCCAAATAAAGTTGAATAAAGGGATTACATTAATATTCAGATCAAATGCAGTTATTGTATGTACCAGAACATTATTCCATTATTTCATTATTTTTGTGATTGGTTTATTTTGAAAAAAATGTCGTTGAAACTTTCTTTCTGAAAAGTTTGGATAAAAAGCGCATCCCACTCTTTTATTTACTCTTATAAAGTTCACTATTTTCTTTTATGTGTTATCCTGTGTTATATATATGGTATCACTTATATAATAAATAGTCATGCATAGTAAAATAGTTGTTGTATTTTTTTCTATTTTAATTTACATTTTGGTACACAATTTCACTGTGAAACGCTATTTCAATGCCTTAGAAAATAGAAAAACACGTTCAGATTCTGCACACACTGCATGATAGTAAGAGGCGAGTAATTTGGGGCCCCCTGCAGAATCAGGGTGTCTTTTTCGAGTCGTCTACAAACTTGATTAACTGTCCTCATTGCAAAACTTGGAATCTTTTGTTGTTTCCCATCTTTCCTACATTCTTTCTTTTTCATCTACTTTCATCTTTCTAGCGGTGTCATCACATGACACTTGCTGTTGTGAAAAGGTTAAATAACATATACAGACAGCGATGCTTGTATATATTGACAACTTATATCCTTTATTAATTGTCTGTAGTTTGTTATACATGTAAAAGCCGCTGTCGTGCAACAAGTTTTGTATCATAGAATAGAGGTCTTACAAACTTTCTAACTTTTGACGAAAATTAACTTTTTCTTTATTTATATCCTAAACATCTGATATTATTTATCGAAAGCTTACAATTTGGAAATTGAAACCGAAAAGGCTGTCATTTATGATTTATTCGACATTGTGCGGGATAGATTTCATCAATCGCATATTAGATAAATGCGAGTGAAAGATTCTTTTTAAACAATTAAATATTGTTGCCATGGTTATAAATGAAAATGTTGAATAACATTACTCAAAGTCTTGCAAACAGCAGCTGACAAGATAATGATGATATACTCAATCATCAGCTGAGAGGACTATCGTAGGAAGTTATCTAACAGCTGAAAAGTCTCATACAGCATAGTCAAATAACAGCTGAAAGAACTTTTATGATACAGTTAATTGACAGTTGATAGACTGTTAAGAAAGTGTCAATAACAACGGACAAGACTATCAAAACTAGGCAATTACCAGCTGACAAGACTATTATACTATAGTCAATAACAGCTGACAAGACTATTATACTATTGTCAATAACAGCTGATAGGACTATTATAATATAGTCAATAACAGCTGACAAGACTATTATTATATAGTCAATAACAGCTGACAAGACTATTATAATATAGTCAATAACAGCTGACAAGACTATTTTAACATAGTCAATAACAGCTGACAAGACTATTATATTATAGTCAATAACAGCTGACAAGACTATTGTAACATATAGTCAATAACAGCAGACAAGACTATTATAATATAGTCAATTACAGCTGACAAGACTATTAAGATAAACTCCATAAAGTCCATTTACAGCTTACAAGACTAACACAATTAAATACGGTCAATTAACAGCTGATAAAATCATAATATAACGTTTATCAGTAGATAACAAGTCTATTGAAATATAGTCAATTAACAGCTTACAAGACCAAATATTATAAAGTAAATTAAAAAAACTGACAAGACTTTTATGTTTAGTTAATCAACAGCTGACAAGTCTTTTATAATAAAATAAATAAAGAGCTGGCAATACTGTAAAAATAAAGTTAATTTACAGCTTTTACGATATAGTCAATAACAGCTGACAAGACTATTACAATATAATCAATAAAAACTGACAAGACTATTATAAAATAGTCAATAACAGCTGACAAGACTATTATAATATAGTCAATAACAGCTGATAAGACTATTATGATATAGGCAATTAACAGCTGAAAAGACTGTAAAAATAAGGTAAATAATAACTGACAAGACTGTAAAAATAAAGTAAATAATAATTAACAAGACTGTAAAAATATAGTCAATAACAGCTGACAAGACTATTTTAATATAGTCAAAAACAGCTGTCAAGACTATTATAATATAGTCAATAACAGCTGACAAGACTATTTTAACATAGTCAATAACAGCTGACAAGACTATTATAATATAGTCAATAACAGCTGACAAGACTATTATAATATAGTCAATTACAGCTGACAAGACTATCAAGATAAACTTCATAAAGTCCATTTACAGCTGACAAGACTAACACAATTAAATATGGTCAATAAACAGCTGAAAAAATCATAATATAACGTTTATCAGTAGATAACAAGTCTATTGATATATAGTCAATTAACAGCTTTATTAAAATAAAGTTAATTTACAGCTTTTACAAGATAGTCAATAACAGCTGACAAGACTATTACAATATAGTCAATAAAAACTGACAAGACTATTATAAAATAGTCAATAACATCTGACAAGACTATTATAATATATTCAATAACAGCTGATAAGACTATTATAATATAGTCAATAACAGCTGACAAGACTATATAAGACTATTATGATATAGGCAATTAACACTGTTATAATACAGTCAATAACAGCTGACAAGACTATTATGATATAGGCAATTAACAGCTGACAAGACTGTTTTAATATAGTCAATAACAGCTGACAAGACTGTTATAATATAGTCAATAAAACTGACAAGACTGTAAAAATAAGGTAAATAATAACTGACAAGACTGTAAAAATAAAGTAAATAATAATTAACAAGACTGTAAAAATATAGTCAATAACAGCTGACAAGACTTTTATAATATAGTCAATAAAAACTGACAAGACTATTATAAAATAGTCAATAACAGCTGACAAGACTATTATAATATATTCAATAACAGCTGATAAGACTATTATGATATAGGCAATTAACAGCTGACAAGACTGTTATAATACAGTCAATAACAGCTGACAAGACTATTATAATATAGTCAATAACAGCTGACAAGACTGTTATAATATAGTCAATAAAACTGACAAGACTGTAAAAATAAGGTAAATAATAACTGACAAGACTGTAAAAATAAAGTAAATAATAATTAACAAGACTGTAAAAATATAGTCAATAACAGCTGACAAGACTATTATAATATAGTCAATAACAGCTGACAAGACTATTATAATATAGTCAATAACAGCTGACAAGACTATTTTAACATAGTCAATAACAGCTGACAAGACTATTATAATATAGTCAATAACAGCTGGCAAGACTATTAAGATAAACTCCATAAAGTCCATTTACAGCTGACAAGACTAACACAATTAAATATGGTCAATAAATAGCTGAAAAAATCATAATATAACGTTTATCAGTAGATAACAAGTCTATTGAAATATAGTCAATTAACAGCTTTATTAAAATAAAGTTAATTTACAGCTTTTACAATATAGTCAATAACAGCTGACAAGACTATTACAATATAGCCAATAAAAACTGACAAGACTATTATAAAATAGTCAATAACAGCTGATAAGACTATTATGATATAGGCAATTAACAGCTGACAAGACTGTTATAATACAGTCAATAACAACTGACAAGACTATTATAATATAGTCAATAACAGCTGACAAGGCTATTATGATATAGGCAATTAACAGCTGACAAGACTGTTATAATATAGTCAATAACAGCTGACAAGACTGTTATAATATAGTCAATAAAACTGACAAGACTGTAAAAATAAGGTAAATAATAACTGACAAGACTGTAAAAATAAAGTAAATAATAACTGACAAGACTGTAAAAATATAGTCAATAACAGCTGACAAGACTGTAAAAATAAAGTAAATGATAACTGACAAGTCTGTAAAAATAAAGTGAATAATAACTGACAAGTCTGTAAAAATATAGTCAATAAAGAGCTGAGAAGTCTGCAAAAATAAAGTAAATAATAACTGAAAAGACTGTAAAAATAAAGTAAATAATAATCAACAAGACTGTAAAAATAAAGTAAATAATAACTGACAAGTCTGTAAAAATAAAGTAAATAATAACTGACAACTCTGCAAAAATAAAGTAAATAATAACTGACAAGTCTGTAAAAATAAAGTAAATAATAATCAACAAATCTGTAAATATAAAGTGAATAATAACTGACAAGACTGTAAACATATAGTTAATTTACAGCTTTTACAATATAGTCAATAACAGCTGACAAAACTTTTATATACAGTAAAAGTGAATTAATAAGATTATGTAAATAATTAGATCATTTTACTTATTTAAACAACAGATAATCCTTACATCAATACCATTATTCTAAAACAAACAACTCCAACACAGTAATGGGATTGAAAGCCACAGATTGTTTTCAAAAGTCCACAAAACTAGATGGCTATAACATGTATCAATAAGTACCTCTGAAACTCTGGCAAAGATTGATATCTCCAGCTGTATGCCCACCAGCATGGTGACCGGACAAAACAGCAACCAGATAGGACCGTTCCCCGGGAAATCAGGCGAACACAACCCTTGTGCAAAACACGCCGTGGTCCAATCAGTTGCTTATTAATCAATAAGAGCCCCATGGGAATTCCGTGCAACCCAACACATAACATCATTGGATCTATCCATCTCTTGCCAGAGTTATTTCCCCTTTATTACTTTACCACTGAATCATGTACTTTGGAAAAACCAAGCTGACCTACTCATGATACATGTACCACTTTATTAAGATAGGGTATTTGCTTATTGAAACATGTTATGTTGCCAACTTGCCAGAATCTGTGACAAAGAAAAATATTTGATGTCATGTTCACCGTATAATCATGAAGGATTCATGTAAATCATCATTTAGCAATTCGGTATCTCTACCCACTGTCCACATTCACTGGCTAATATATATTGGGAATGAGTTAACTTTAAATTTGATAATAAGTTGTCTTTGGTAATAAGACGTACACCTCTCCACTTGTGATATATGTCCGAAGACTATACTTACAGTCCAATTGAGAAAAGAAATACTACACATTTCCAGAATGAGTCTGCGGTTAATGCAGGCCACACACACTAAGCAGACTTATAATGTCCCTGCAAGGCAGTGTAAACCCTGAAGTTGGTGTAAACTAAAAGAAAAGAAATCTAAAAGAAGTATGATCTTGAAATTGCTGACCAGTCATGTATTGGTAACATAATAAAACATAATATGCATTCATAATCAAATTTACTATTGAATAGCAATGCTCTAAAGAAAATGACGCAAATGT